TGTATCTACATTAACATCGCTTTTTTTAATGAAACGCCATTTTTAATATAAATAATAATTATTTTGCTTTTTTTTCCTGTTGTTATATTTGCATTTTAATTACAGTTTTACAAAAAACCAATTCAGATTTGGTTTTTTGTAAGAAATAAAAAAGTGAAAGTAAAGTGGAAGATATGTTATGTATTTTTGCACTGAAAATCTTCCACCTTGACTCCCATTTTTTAAAATGTCTTAAAATGACTTAAAAACAAGTTTTTACGACTTTTTGGAAGTGGAAGTTCAGTGGAAGATTTTTAGTGCAAATTACACTTAAAATCTTCCACCAAACTTCCACTTCTGAAAAGTGTTAAAAACGCATTTTTTGACAATTTTAAGAAATTTTAAAAATGGAAGTAAAGTGGAAGATTTTTTGTTCAAAATACATTACAAATCTTCCATTAAAATTCCACTTATAAAAAACAGCATAAACTTTGCAAAGACCCATTAGACGTAAGACTAAACTATCCAGAAGTAACAAAAACGAAAATGGCATGTAGAGGAATGTCATAAAACAGCCAGAAATAGAAGTTGTCGACCACTTTTTGATATTTAAATTGTGTTTTTTCAGGGTTTTAATCAAACGGGTCTTTAAATAGGAATTTGCACGCAAAACTGACAGCTTTTAAGTTCAAAAGTATCATTTCTTTGGTGCTTTTGTTTGCCTTTTAAATTGGGTTGCATCGTGCAAGAAATGGGTTTTTGCACTGTGCAGATTTTAAAAAATTGTCCGCCATGCATTTGAGCAAAAATCATCGGACAAAATATTTGTGACATGTTTATCCCTTGGTAAGAAACATTTTGACAGTACATATTACTGCAGATTTCCTACTGTAACCCACATTAACAGAAACTCAAAAAACCTTGCACTGTGCAATCATTATTTGGCTGCACCGTGCAAATTTTAAAAAACCGTTTTCCACGCCACTGATCAAAAGTTTTTGGACAATATACTTATGTCATATTTAACCCTTCCTAAAGCCAATTTTTAAAAGTCACATTACGGTAATTTTCCTACAGGAACCCAAAGTAATAGCAACTCAAAAAATCTTTGCACCGTGCAAATTTAAAAAATCGTTCGCCGTGCCTTTGAGCAAAAGTTATCGGACAAAATATTTGCGTCATCTTTAACCCCTTTTTAAACAAGTTTTTAACGGTTTACTGTAATTTTCGTACTGCAACCACCTCTTTCCTTCAATCAAAAAGAGACTGCACCGTGCAATCCTTTCCAGACTGCACGGTGCAGACGCCCGATTTCCCGCACAGTGCAAAGCTAAACAGACTTTTGAAAAGGCGAATAAATTAAAAAAATAAATTAATTATCAGTCTCGAAAAACATAGTACGAACAAAATTGTACTATTTTAGTAATACCGTATCGCATTTCCGTAAAGTCATCCGATTTCAAACGAAAAATATTATTTCAAAGTGTTTTGTCACGCAATTTGCGTTCGTACTGCGCTGAGAAGTAGGGTTGTAAACAGAGTACGTAGTGCTTATTATGGCAGGTTGTCTTAGGTGATGAAAATGGCAAAAACTTTGTTTACAAAGCAAAAAAAACGAAAACGTTCTTTACAAAACAAAAAATGGCAAGAACTTTTTTTACAAAGTAAAAAATTGCAAAAACTTTCTTTACAAAATACAAAATGGCAAGAACTTCCTTTACAACGCGTAAAAATGGCAAGAACTTTCTTTACAAAACAAAAAATTGCAAGAACTTTCTTTCCAAGTCAAAAAAATTGCAAAAACTTTCTTTCCAACGCCTAAAAATTGCCACTTTCCTTATCTAAACCTCCAAATAATAAAGAAATCGGTTTAAACTGATAAAATCGCAATTTTTAAACACAAAATTTCGTTGAAATTCCTCTCGAATTCAAATATGTTTAGTGTTTTTATGTTCGAACAAGGAAATTGTCTCTTTCGCAGGTAGGAAAGCGGACCAACTGATCAGATAATAAATAAAGGAAAAGTCCAAAAACTTTTGGACTTTCAATTGTAACACAAGATTAAAGGTCGATTCGGTCGGAAAACTGAAGTTATTGGTCCCAAACAATTTTCTATCTACTTTAAAATAGCATATCTACCTCTATTTCAACAATTTTTAGCGTTTTAAAGTTTTGCACCGTGCAAAAATAAATTGACTGCACGGTGCTGATTTTTTTAAATTGCACTGTGCGCGCTTGGACAAAACTTTTTGACCGCAACTAAAATATTGTAAAATAGCCTAGAAAAAGTACTTTTTATACAGTATAAAATTATGGTACTGTAACTTTTTAAAATGTGTCGAAAATTTAAATTTAAAAATTATTGCACAGTGCAAATTTTTAAAAATTGCGCAGTGCAAAAAATAAAAACTTGTAAAACTTCAATTTTTTAAATTTTAAACATAATTTTAGATTTAAAAAAAATTTTAAAACAAAAAATCATTTACAAAACCAAAGATATATAATTCTGCCCCGATACCTTGTCGTAGACAATCTTAAAGTCAATGATTTCGAGCCATTTTTTAATGATTTTCTTAGCGTTCCGCACAGAACGTTGAATCAGAAGCCATTGAGAAGACATAATACGGAATCAGGAGTGTATTAGAGTCTGTCAGACACTGTGTGGGTGAGAAATGGCCACAAATTTGCATTCGAAAACGATTTTCTTAAAACAAGAATATATTAACTATGACAAAGTTAAGGTCATAGCGACCTGGAAGTAGTCGTTAAAGTGTTTTTATGACCTTTAAAGAAGTTCGCTTCCCCTGGTTTTCAAAATTTCGATTTTTTTTGAAACTTTTTTTTAAATTTAAATTCAAAAATTAAAAAAGTGCATGTTTCATCGTATAAAATGTCCCACTAAGATTAAAAGTGATAAATCTAGTCCAAACCTGCCATTTTAAACCGATATCTTCCATAAAGATGATCAAAAAGCTCCAAATAAGAACATGTTTCATCGTATAACATGGCCCGCGCAGACTGCCAACCCTCAAAACCGCCAAAAATCACAAACCAAAATAACAAAAAGTATCAAACCCCCATTTCTAATGATAAAAATAAGAAAATGACATTAAATGATCGAACAAACCTGCACAAACAATGTTATTAAATGTAAAATGGCTTGAATAGAATCATGTCTGTGTCATTCCAGATGATTGCTTAGAAGAACAATAAAGCAGATGAGATGACACATTTTTTGAACAATATCAATTAGAAATTGTGTCATTGACATTAGCAGAGAGTTCAAGAAATGATAAGATTGAGAAGTCACAGTAGGTCTACAATAACATGTGTTTTTGAAAAGTTGAAAAAGTATTTCGACAAAGTATACAATACGTTTTGCAAAGCATGAAATGAAGTATACTTTCACAAATTTTCATTTTGATATGTTAAGGTATGGCAGAGATACATTCATTTAAAAACGGTACAAAGCCAAAATTTTCGATTTTCCGAAAAAGTAGGGTAAGGTAAAACTACTGTAACCTCATAACTAATCTAAATTTACAAAACATGTCTTGACATTCTATAACCTAAAAGCCCAACCAACAATCATACCAAGCTTCATGTCCCTACCTATAACATCAAAAACGTTATGACACAAACAAAATGACTAACCCTTTCAAAACTCAATATTATAGTACATTCCTCAAGGCCATAACCCCAGTATTCTATCACATAATCAATGTTAAAACCCAATTATACGTTCTAAAAACTCCACTTTTTGAATTCGAACCCCAAAAATAAAAAAAAATTTCGAATTTGATTTAAAAAATCAATTTTAAATTTAAACCCTCCGGCATTAAAATTCAAAAACTGTTGGTTTTATACAAAAAGACAAAGTTAAATACAACAAAAAGTGATGGTAAGCTTTGTTTGTACCTCAAAATCAATGCAAATCGCCTGTCGCTGAAAATATTTTGCCGGAGGGCGTAATGACGTCAAGAATTTGATAAATTTGCATAAACTTTAAGGTGCTCCGGAAACGATTAAAACTAAGTTTTTTTCAGAATAAACAAGGTTTTTAATCATTGATTTTAAGGTTGTTCATAAAAACTTTGAAATTTAGAAAAATTAATTTTTGCACCGTGCAGATTTTAAAAAATCGTTTGCCACGCCCTTGAACAAAAGTTCTTGAACGAAATATTTATGCCATATTTAACCCTTCATAAGCCACGTTTCTTAAAGTATATATTACTGTAATTTTTCCTACATTAACCCATAGAAGTAAGCTATCAAAAAAATTTTCACTGTGCAACCCAATTTTGATTGCACAGTGCAGACTTCAAAAAGCGCGCCAATTTGAAACTAAAACTTGTTTGGAAATTAAAATGAGACAGAAAGACAAAATAAACTTTTCTGTTACAGTAATCTTAACATAGAAGTGCTAAAAGCTTTAAATTTCGGCCGAAACCATAAAAAAACCAAAAAAATCAAGATTTCATTGTTATCGACCAAAGGTTTGCGTAAAATAAACAAATGATGACTAAACAGAGCGAGTGCAAATAGTTGTACCTAGTTTTGTTTACCAACATAAACTTTTGGTCTCTGTTTTTTGTAAATCAAAAAAAAATTTTAGGCATGTTAAGCCTAAAAAAGCCTTTTTTTCGCAGTGAAACAACAATTTTTTAATGAAAATTTAGCTTTAGGTTTATCTTACGGTTGATAAAACATAATTTCATCAAAAAAAAATTTTTTTTTTATTTTAGTTTTAGGCTTATTTTAAACCTAAAAGGGCCTTTTTCGCAAATGTTTGAAAAAGTATTTATTTTTAAACTTATGCTAAGGCTAATAAGACCTAATTTCACAAAAAAAATTTTTTCAGAATTTTTAGTTTTAGGCTTATTTAAACCTAAAAATCGCTTTTTAGGCCTAAAATCTCAAAATTTTTTTCAAAATTTTTTTCAAAATTAAAATTCTAGGCTTATATTAAGCCTAAAGTAAAGTTAAATCACTGCAAAAAATTTGAAAAATTTAAAAAAAAATTAAAAATGAAAACCGACCGATCTGCGCCCATATTGTCCATGATGATAGCGATGATTCCTGTAGCCATCGTTTTTCGTGTAGCTTTCTGAAGATTTGTGGTTCTCCGTGGAGCTTCTGGAGGCATCTGAATCCTTGGAATCCTTTTTCGTTACTTCATCGTGATTTCGGTTTCTGTAGCTGTTGTTACGGTGAGAATCTGAATCCTTGAGTGATCTGCGGCCTTCTGAATCCTTAGAGTTTCTGGAGACTTCTGAATCCTTGCCTGACCTGTAGCCTTCTGAATCTTTGCTTGACTTAGAAGCTTCTGAATCCTTGGAGCTTCTGGAGAATTCTGAATCCTTGCCTGGTCTGTAGCCTTCTGAATCTTTTGAGCTTCTGTAACCTTCAGAATCCCTGTACGATCGATAAGAATCCGAATCCTTCCCACTCCTGTAGCCTTCCGACTCCCTGTAGTAGTAGTAGTTGCCGTTGTGATCGTACTGCCGACCGTAGTGACTCGAGTTGTTGAAGGTACGACGATAGTTCGACGATACGGATGAGTTGTTTCGTCGGCGGACGCGGCGTGGGTTCGGCGGACGAGACAACGCCTTCGAGCTGTCCGACGAACTTGGCGGTTGCTTTGAGGACATTGTCTGAAAATGAAAAAAATTAAATTTTTTATCAAAAAAATTAAAATTTAATCGTAAAAACTTTGTTTACAAGGCGTATAATGGCAAAATACAAAAAATATTATCCATCGTATAACTTGTCACCCGCAGACTGCACAAGACTTATTTTGCTTGTTTTTAATGGAAAATGGAAGAAACTTTCTTTACAAATAAAAAAAGCAAAAACTTTCTTTACAGAGCAAAAAATAGCGAGAACTTTCTTTACAAGACAAAAAAGTCATCCATATTATAAAATGTCCCTCGCAGGCTGCGCAAAGAAAGTTTTGCTTAAAAAAGAAATAGAAAAAATTTTATTTACAAAGTAGAAACAAATTAGAAAGAACTTTCTTTACAGACCCCGAACAAATCAAAAATTTCCTTTACGAAACAAAGAACTGTTATCTATCGTATAACGTGTCCCCTGCAGGCTGCGCACGCTTATTTTCATTGCTTTTTAAAGAAAATATAAAAAATTTTATGTAAAAAACAAAAAAAAATTGCAAAAACTTTCTTTACAAAACAAATAATGACAAAAACTTTTTTTAAAAATCAAAAAATAGCAAGAACTTCCTTTACAAACAAAAAAAAAGGCCATCCATCGTATAACTTGTCACCCGCAAGCCGCGTAAAGAAACATTTTCCTGTTTTGAACAGGAAATGGAAGAAACTTTGTTTACAAAACATAAAACCGCAAGAACTTTCTTTACAAATCAAAAAGTTGCAAAAACTTTCTTTCCACCAGCCTCATACGCTCAGTAATGTAAACTTTGTCGCTAATGTCAAACAAACTAAGACTTTAACGTACACACTAACCCAAGAATGTCACCTAAATCATTATCAAACCTCAACTATATCATTATCAATACAAAACTGATCAATAACCATAACTGATCAAAAACATCCAAAACATGCGAAGCAGATCATCCAGCCTACCCCCAACTACAATAACAGTTACAGTTGCGACGACTCCCGCCCGCCACTTCCACCATGACTGTCTACATACTGGTCGATAAATGGGATAATTTGTTGCGCAATTAATCATAAGTCATTCGAAACCCGTCTTTTTTCTGCGATTTCGAGGAATTTCGTCGACGAAATTCGGACTGAAACCTCGAGGCGATTCGTTCTTTTAGTCAATATGTGTGACATCAAGATACGACAACAAGAAGGGGTGATGGAGGAGAGGGGGGACGTCAACAAGGAAAGAGTTACCCCTCCCCAATATACGACGATAGCCAAGGTAGAAAGAGGAAGGAGTAAAAGTAGGAGAACGGATGAGGGGGAAAAGAGGGGGAGGGTAGGTAGGGTAAAAAGGGGGGGAAAGGAGGACTGGTACACACCGCTCTCAAAAAAAATTTTTAGTAAAAAAACATTCATTTTTTGAAAAAACAACCAAGTTGCTTTAAAAAATTTTTAATCCTTCCCCCACCCGCCCAAAAAAAATTTTTTTTACCACCCAAATTTTTTTTTCAAAAAACTGAATTTTGCTTTAAAAATCAAAGTTTTTTTTTAAAATTTCACATTTCTGCACCCCCCCCCCTAAAAAAATTTTTTTACCGCGTCCAACTTTTTTTTAAAATTTATACATGCCTCCCTTTAAAATTGAAAAAAAATCACCTCTGTAGGCCAAAAAAATCATTTTTACCCCACCCTCCACTTCCCCCTACCTTACAGCCTCTCTACCTTTTTCCATTCCTCAAGCTAAAACAAGAAACAGATATGACAACCCGAATGTGTGATAGCGAGATATGACAACAAAAAGAGGCGTCCGACCCAAACAAGGTCGCAAAATGACATTTCTCGTCCTCACAGCAACAAATTTCATTTTTTGTTTCCGGGTGCGAAACAAAGTCAAACGAGGCTGGACTGGTCGCTAATAAATCACAATTTAGGTTTACATTTCAAGCAAAAAAGTGGGAGTTTAACAAGAAATGTCAATGGATGACATAAAACGTGGTGAGGTAAAACGACCTAGCTCAATATGTAGATACAAAATGACACTATTTAACATTATATTTTATACCTAAAGTTGACTGTTTGTAGATTTTGCACAAATTTGAAGAACAAATGGCAAGAAATTTCTTTCGAAAACAAAAAATAGCAAGAACTTTCTTTACAAAACAAAAAACGGCAAGAACTTTAATTACAGAACAAAAATAACAAGAACTTTCTTTACAAAGCATAAAATGGCAAGAACTTTCTTTACAAAGCAAAAAATAACAAGAAATTTCTTTACAAAACAAAAAACGGCAAGAACTTTACTTACAGAACAAAAATGACAATAACTTTCTTTACAATGACTAAAAATGTTATCCATGGCATTACTTGTCCCACGCAGTGAAATTCATTATATATGTTTTGTTTGAATGAAGCTTCGCCGTATTTACAACCTCAAAAAATTGAACCAAAGCTTTTAGGCTTATCAAACCATTTTTAGGCTTGAACATTACAAAATAAAGTATTTCCCTTTTCCATAACCAAGCCTTTTATTGTGAAGTAAACCGGATATCAGCAATTTAAAGCCTTTCCAGAAATGGTTTCGAACTTGAAAACTTCCTACTACTTTAAACCGTTCCTATATCAACTGAACTGCCATATTTGAATATATATTACATGGATTATTTAAATATCATGTAGGAGTATCCCTAAGTTTTTAATCCATACCTAAGTTGGAAAAGTTAATATCGTATGCAAACACGTTATAATCCATGTAATAACACTTTGCACCGCAGTGTTACTAAGTCCAATATCAATACCTAATACGCCACCCTACTTTACCCTGCCCTACCATACATAACCCTACACTATCCTACCCTACTCTACCCTACCTTGCTCTACCATACCCTACCCAACCCTACTCTATCCGACTCTACCATACCCTACCCTACTTTACACTACCCTACCCTACTTTACACTACCCTACCCTACCCTATCCTATCCTAACCTACCCTACCCTACCCTACCCTACCCTACCCTACCCTACCCTACCCTACTGTACCCTAACCTACCCTACCCTACCCTACCCTACCCTACCCTACTGTACCCTACCCTACCCTACCCTACCCTAACTTACCCTACCCTACCCTAACCTACCCTACCCTACCCTATCCTACCCTACTCTACCCTACCTTGCTCTACCATACCCTACCCAACCCTACTCTATCCGACTCTACCATACCCTACCCTACTTTACACTACCCTACCCTACTTTACACTACCCTACCCTACCCTACCCTATCCTATCCCTAACCTACCCTACCCTACCCTACCCTACCCTACCCTACCCTACCCTACCCTACCCTACCCTACCCTACTGTACCCTAACCTACCCTACCCTACCCTACCCTACCCTACTGTACCCTACCCTACCCTACCCTACCCTAACTTACCCTACCCTACCCTACCCTAACCTACCCTACCCTACCCTACCCTACCCTACCCTACCCTTACTTACCCTACCCTAACCTACCCTACCCTACCCTACCCTACCCTATCCTACCCTACTGTACCCTACCGTACTTTTGCTTTTCGTACCGTACACTACGGTCTCTATTTTACCATACCCTACCCTACTTTGTCTTTTTGTAACCTACCCCATCGTGCTCTATTCCACCTTACCCTACCTTACCGTACATTATCCTACTCTAGCCTACTTTGCATTCCCCTACCTTACGTTACAATACCCTATGCTACCGTATTTTGCCTTTTATTACTCTAGCTGACCCTTTCCTATCCTACCATATCCTGTCCTCCCGGCCCTATTTTACCATACACTACCCTGCCCCACGCTACCCTACCTTACCCTACCCTGCCCTACCCTTATATTACGTGCCGACATAAAGAACCCGCCACACTTTGCCTGTAATTATCTGTAAAAAATGGCGGGTTCTTTATGTCGGAATCTAATATCCCATTACAGTGTGCGCAAAAAGTTCTGTTACAAAACTTTACCGGTCGTTTTCTCTATTTTTTATTATGTCGGCATCTAATACCAATATACCAACTGTATGCAAGCCCAATACCTTGTATTCTACCCCCTAATAGTGATGTAAGTAAGGTTTTGGAGGTTATGTAAGAGGATTCCCCCCCCTATCAATACGATGAAAAAACAATGTGAAAAACAGTCGGAAGTTGGAGGGTTAAAACAAAGTGAAACTGGGATAATATAGAGTTCAACTGAACGCTCACAATAAGCTTATCTGCTAGCCAGGGGCTATGTTATATTATAATAAAGATTAAAAATTTGTTTTTGGGAGGGGAGAAGGGGGGGGCGGGAGGGGGGGGTGGTGGTAGACATGAGCAACGGGCCAGGCCTGAGCAAAATCAAAAATGGCTCATCTCTAGGGGGTGGTCAATAAATGTTTTTCTCAAACTTAAAGACGGGGTAAAAAACCGAAAAAAAAATTTCAAAAAAATTTTAACGAGGAGGAGGGAGGGGGAGTGAGATATTGTAAAGGGGGAGGAATCAATAATTTTTTTTTCAAATTTCAAAAAAGGGGGGGGGGGGGGAGCGAAAAAATAAATGAAAAATATTTATTTTTTTTTCATTTTCAAATAATTTTTTTTTTCAAAATGTTTTAAAATTTTTTAAAAACCACCCACCTTTCAACGTTCAAGTTGACCGTTCGTACTGAATGTCCTGCACTTGATATCTGTTTAGCTCTGTTTGTTCTTATCAAATGAAGCAAAGTGATATCTGAAAAATGTGTCATTTTAATCCATTTTAAATTCAAAAAATAAAAAAAAATATTGTAAAATACGACGTAGAAAAAGGATAGGACAAATCGTGTAAAAAGTCATTTTTATTAACTTGAAATTTTAAAAATTCAAAAAAGATACAGTAGTAAAGGATCAAAAAGTCTTGTCGTCAAATTACATAAGATTTCACGTTAAAAAACGACAAGACTTTTTTAGACCCTTTATTAAAAAGAAAAAAATGATGACATTCTAGTATGAAGTCAAGTATTTCAAGAGTAAGAATC